AATATAGTTAAGTATTTTACTTTGTTTCTTCATGAAATTTGTGTTTTACATAAACTTCTGAAGTTTATATTATTAGTTTCTAAATGAATGTTCTTACATTTATTTTTGATGAACATAAAAAAATAATCCATGTTCCAAGGGTTATGATATTTTGTACAAATGACTATGTATTATTATGTACTGTGTAGCTATGTACTAAATACTATTAAAGATAAAATGTTTCCAGCTTATGTTTGTTTAGGTAAATTATACCTATTTACTTACGTAAGTATATATTGCTGTGTTAACAGCATATATTTCAAAATCGTGTTAAGGTGTGTTAGGATTATTAAATATTAACATATACAGCATACATAGTAAACCATATAAGATATTACACATTGTTTTTTCTTAAAATTACTGTACATAGTAATTCCCGTTCAAAGATCATCAATTTTCAACGACCTGCAAAATAGAAAATTGTTAGATTATTACAGATGAAGGGTTTTATAACTTTATATATATGTTTGGTAATGTTTCAAGATGACACACGTAAATTTAAAATAATTATCGGCTGTGCTTCCGAAAACATGACAAACCCGATGGGACTGAAATTGTACAAATAACTTCATTTTGCATAAAAACAATGTTTGCGAGAAACATTTTTGGTGATACAATCGTTAAGATATAAAATTTTACAAAATGTTTTATTATTTTAGTGTCACTCTCTGTAATTTCCGAAATTTTCATGTTCCAATGGGTATGGTATTCTAGCGATGGCTTTATTTTGCACAGAAAAAATGTTTATGAAAAGGATTTTTGACACTTCCAAAGTTAAGACATAAAATTTTGCAGAAAAGCGTTTATGATTGTAGTATCATTCCCTACGGTGCCAACACAACGTGGAATAAAATTACAATAGTAACTCGATACTTTTTCTTTATTAACTCGATGAATATACATTATTAATTCAATTATGTACATAAAAAATCTACAATACATATTTTACAAACGATTACAAGTAATGAGAGTTTATTTATATAAAATATTATGCGTCCTAGATCTAGAATCGATGTTAGTGTTTACAGGTAAATGTCGATGCACATATTTTATTTATTTATGAGTGCAATATATGACAAGGAAAGAAAAATACGTTATTTGTTACAGAATTACATATGATACACAAATAAAACAAAGATTGCAACTTTTGAGGTTGAACAAAAAACTCATGCTTAATTTTTATTAGTAACAAATATATTTTATAAAGCAAATATATAAAATTTATAAGTAAATATATAAAAAGAAGTAGCACCAATCGAACTTCTCCATTTCAAGAAAATAGTAAGTACCATACGAAAATAGACTAATATCTTATACAGCATTTGGTATTTACAATCACTGTTTACACTTTTTTCTCAAGGATAGGTCTTTTACTTAAAAATTGGGTAATTCTTGGGAAAACAAAGTGATGAATATGTACTACATTTTTTATTGTAGGATGCAGTTTGAATGGTAATTATATGCTTTTCACGTTTATCTTTTCAAACTGAAAGATTACTATTGCTGGACTATTTTATTGGGTAAAAGACTTGATTGTCAATGATTAGATTTCTTAAAAATTTACTGAATTATTTTCAAACTTTTCAATGGAAATTACGTGCTGAGAGTCTTGAGAATTATTGAGTTTCCGTATATCACACTATTTATACAGATAATGACACCAGAAATGAGTTTATGGAAAGAAAAATGGTGTTGCATTATGTAAGAAAATGTGCAGTTGCTTATTTTGAAATACGTCAATGCATTTGCGAAAGCAACGGTGTTAATAAAATTTCTCGAACTACAGAATGTTCGTAAATATACGATTTCTTTCACTTCTCTTAGAACGCGGTTACTACGACCGCCATGCAGTTGATTTCATTCGAGTAAGCATATAATACCAAAATTAGATTATACAATTCGAAAATTTAATAATAATGAGTAGGACTATTAAGCTTATGATTCTGGAATTATTTGGAGATTTTGAAAAGTTTGTTTGAAATTGATTTGAAAATATGAAAAATTTTGTTTGAAATTAAGTTGAAAATTTTATTTGAAATTTTTTTGAAAATTTTTGAATATACTTCAAGAAATTAACGCGTGTAATTTGAAACGAGTGATCTATTTTATGGTCGAATGTTACAAACAATAGGAACTATAGATATTCGTATCGTCGTGAGTAATCCATGGATGTGCATGGTTGTTTTGGTAATTGGGTTCGAGTAAATAAGCAATTATTATATTTTGGCTTGGCAAATATTATAATAACGGGCTAGAGAGGTTAACCAGGTTATCTCAAATACGATCATCAGGTCAGG